GGCACACAAGCGCCGTGCGAAAAATCTAGTTCACTGTAGCAATGTGGAACCTTGTCCTGAAGGCCCGTGGCTTCTTCTGCCTGGATGGGAGGAGCAGAGCGAAAATTAACAAGAAAGAAGATGGAGCTAAGAGCCAGAGAAAAACTGGGCCTTCTTTTTTTTTTTAAAAAAAAAAAGGGTAAAAAGGAAATATTACCAAAAAAAAAAAGGGAAGACAGAAGCAGGGAGAGACAGGAACTGAGAGACAGAGAGAGAAGGCTGGGGGTGCAGAGGGGGGCTCCCTACCGCTAACTCGTTTGTTGGAGGCTGAATTATTAGTAGAAAATCTTCATTCCCTTAAAAATCTAGTTCACTGTAGCCATGTGGAACCTTGTCCTGAAGGCCCGTGGCTTCTTCTCAAAGAGCTTCAACTTTTCATAAATGAAATTCTTTTTTATACAGTCAATTCCTACATGTAATTTTTTTTGAGAGGTTTTTGCTATATGGTGTGTGCACTCACCAGAAAGACAGAGACAGAGAGACAGATAGTGAGAAATAACTCACAGGGGGGATGGCCACGCTGCAATTGCTTCTCCTCCATTCCCTTCTCGGGATCTTGGGCTCACATGCACACGCGTGCGCCAGAGTGAGTTTAAGCTACCAGGTCCGGGACTCGAACCACAGTCAACTACATGGGAGTCCAGCGACATAGCCATTACGCCAATTGCTGGTCCCCCTACATGTAATTTTTTAAAAAGCTTATTCTGCCTTATAGGTCTCCTTAGTAATTCTTGAGCTGTGCTTATTTTAACCATTGTGACTTTTATGTTATATTGTAATATATGATAGATTGAATAAATACCACTTCATTATTTCAATTTTTCTGAATTTTTTTGGCTTCTTCCAGATGATGATTACAATGATTTTGTAAAGTTTTAAAAATGCTTTCTGTGATTTTTTATTATAATTTATTAAAGCCATAAATTATTTAGGAAGAATAATTGGTTCTCCTCTCCAAGTCCATGTCAGGTCTTTCACTATATTTGGTTTTAAACGATTTCTTTGTAAACTCTAAAGTATTTTATTTATGGGTCCAGTATATTTCATATTTGATTATAGATTTTATGGATTTTCTTTGAGAGATGTGGGGTGTCAATATGGAAAGAAAACAGTAACATTATTTTTAAGTATCATTAACTTTATAGTTTTCCATTTTTTTATAATGTTACTTTTGATAATAGAAAGTTATTTTAAGGACTGAATTATTGCCTATAGCAAAACAAATTATCCAGCGAATACAAGCAACTTCAGTATCAGAAAGAGCTAGTTTCTAATTTCCAATGTGCCAAATTAGATGTGTTCTTAATTGTCCATCCAGAGTCTTTTATCCAAGCAGGACACTAATGAATTTTTTTTTCCTCTTGTAATTTTCTTGTGATTACATAGCTGTTATTACCAGTGACTATTTGGAGAGGTTTTTTTGCTATAGGGCGCGTGCACTCACCAGACAGACAGAGACAGGGAGATAGAAAGCGAGAAATCACCCCCCAGGGGGGGATGGCCACACAGCAGTCCCTTCTCCTCCATTCTCCTCTTGGGATCTTGGGCACGCACGCACACGTGCCCAGCGTGAGTTTTTTTAAGCCACCGGGTCCGGGACGTGAACCGTGGTCAACTACATGGGAGTCCAGCAACATAGCCATTACGCTAACTGCTGGTCCCACCAGTCAGTGACTATTGACTTCAAGTTCTTGAGGCATATTCAGGAGGATTAGCCTATACTTATCAAGTTAGCATCAACAGTGTCTTCTGGCTTCCTCATTTTTGCCAATAGCAGTGAACAGTGAACACTGATATCTTTTCCTCCTCTTGAGGACCCAGCAGTGCCTATCATTGTGTCTCTCCCCCATTCCTATATTTCAAAGCCTCCCATCTCTCTGTAGTTATCTCCTCCCGATTTACCTGCACCAGTGGATTTCAACTTTGCCGTAGCCAGAGTGATCTTCCTAACATTCAGATCTGACCCAGACCCTCCCTTGCTTATGGTTAAACACTTGATAAACCCAATACACAAGCGTGGAGAGTAAACTAGCTATATCTCGTAATAGTATGCTGTACGCTAGTCATGCAAAGGTAAATAGCACCTGGACTTGGATCTCGTCATTAAAGGCCAAACTTGTTTTCATCACAAGGCCAGCTTCTAGTGATCTGACCAGGCTGACCTCCAGCCCACGTGAAAACATTTTATTATTTTACTACTATTTTTATTAACATAACAAGTGTTACAATGTTTTTTCAGCATATGGACACAATATATAATGATTAAATCAGAGTAATTAGTATGCCATCATCTCAACCATTTATAACATTATGTAAAATAAGTTGTTGTGGGGCTAGCCAGGTGGCATGTGATTTCTGAGACTCAGTTTGAGTCCTGGTGACCTGAAAAGCACACTGAGCGCGTGTGTGTGAGTACCCAAAATCCCAAGAGGAGAATGAAGGAGAAGGGATTGTGATGTGGTCACCCTCCATCGGGTGCTTTCTCTTTCTCTCTCTCTATCTTTCTGTCTCCAGTGAGCCCCATGCCCTATACCAGGGAAAAAAAATCCCAAGAGGATAGTGGAAAAGAAGGGATTACAGAGCACACAGGCATTATAGCAAAATTAAAAATAGAGGCTCAGTCCTTCATCCATCACAGCAAAGCAGAACTTCTGTTTGGGCAGTACACAACAAACACTTTGTGCATCTGTCTGGAAAAATTATGCTGTGGTGGGGCAAGAATAGGGCCTTCCAGACAAAACGCCATCTTCCTCCCTGGCAGAAGAGTTCTTTCGTCATGAAATACTATTCAGTCTTAGAGAACTGCAATGTTCCTTTTGATTTCTCTGTGTAGGTGGGAAGTCTCTCAAGTAGTTCTAGTAAACATGGCATACATGGCCTCAGAACATGGGGCTGGGGAGAAAGAAGTGGTGAGTAAGCGAGTTATTCACAGACCTTGGTTATGGCACCAAATGGCATCTGAGTTCCCAGGTACATCCTCACCACCCTGTGGTTCTCCTGGACCTCCAGAAACACAGGAGCACGGGGCGTTGTTAGCAAGGCTTTGGCGTCCTTTCAGCTGCTTCCCTTCCGGCTGCACATGCCTGTCAGATGGCACTGTTCTCTACAGCTACTTGGGACAGAGCTTCCCCTTGAGTGCCCAGTTTCTACTCTGAGACGGTTGTAGCAGTCCTTTACTGGGGTATATATGATAGTGCCTTATATTTGGATAAATAAATTGGAGTTTCCCATGCTCCTGTCAGGAATAGAGGCCTGAAGTTTTTCAAAGACAATCTATCAAGAGACTTAAAGACGTTCATGGAAAATGTGTACAGGAAAAAACTATGACTGGATTTTAATTTTTATTTTATGGACCACAGTTTTTATAGAGGAATCACTGAGCTATCAGACCTGGGCCTGGGAAGACAGACCTAGGTAGAATGTTGTATTGCGGTCTTGATTTTCAGATGGTGAGTGGTGTGCAGGAAGTACCTTTTTCAGTTCTTTACAGTTGGACCTCCAGTAGCTGTGGGCAGATCACGACTGTGGCTCTGGATTCTCTGAAGAAGCATAGCTGCTTAGGGACTAATCTATGTCTTGGTTTATCTTACTTTAATTTTAGGACGGTGGTTTACTTTAAATTGCAAAATCCTTTTCTTTCTCTTTCTTACAGATTCATGAAGGTGGCAGGAAGCACGGTGGATGCAGTTACCTGGCAACAGTAGGTATTCACCCTTTTTGCTCTTATTTATCATCACCTGCTGTGAAATGAAAGGTAATTAGTCTCCAGGTTCCTAACTGACATTTAAAAAGCTATCCTTCATCCTTTGAGAAAAACTTTAGAACTAACTCCAAAGCTGCTCTTACAGCACATACTTTCTCATGGTACTATAATGTTGTTTTGTTGTCTTCAAAAATAATCATAATAATAAGCAAAACAAAAAACTTGAAAATTCAAGTCCCACTGACACATTCTGGAAAGTGCAGCTACTATGTATACTTTTAGGTTAACCTGCTTTCAGCGAACAGGTAATGGGTCTAAGCGTGTCGCCAGTCCCCAATAGGCTTTTGAGTGGGGAGTAAGTTTCCTTCTATGAGAAGAAACAGTTTTAGCTGCTGTTTGATATATCATGAGAAAATGGAAACTCTTTATTGTATTAATAGCAGTGATCTTAATTAGGGCAAAGTGAGTTACTAATGCGAAGAAAGTTTAAAAACTGGAAAAAAAAATGTCAAGAAAGTGAAGCAGCTTCAAGAGAGGGGATAAACCCCAGCATTCCAGGAGGAAGCTTCCAATGCCAAAGACCTGTTACAGCGAGCATAACTTGAAACAGGATAACTATCTGCTGCAGAAATTGATTGAAGTCTCTGTACTGCCAGGATGTCTAGCATGTAACAGTGCCTTCCAATTCTATACTAGAGTCCTGCCTCTCTTCCCTGTGAGAAATCCATCCCACAGCATCTTCCAGACCACCGCTCCTTGAATGCTGCAGCTCCAACATCTGCGCTCCCCTTCTGGGCCCTGACCATCTTTCTCAGTTACGCCAACCCTTCCCACCCAGCGCATGTACTCTTCTCGTCTATCCTCCGTTTTAAGTGGGTCATGCTAGCCACTTTAAACAAGTTAGACAAGATTCATGATGGGTGGAAAAGAAAGAAGTGGATGAAATCTCTATTAACTATCCCAGAAAAATGTTTGGGCTGTTATGAATCAATAACTTCAATCATAATGGGAAATAAGTTAGTATACATTTATACCCTTAGTTTCTCTAAACAACAAGTTCCACATGTTTTCATAAATTCTTATTCTCCCTCAGCTTGTTTTTGTGAGTCATAGATTAGTTCTGAGGATCTTATCATCTCCTTGCTCAAAACCCCAGGTCTTCCCTTTGCACTTAGACCAAAAGCCAAACTCTCTACTCCGGCCTTTTGTATTTCTGCCTCTGCTGCCCCCCGATTTCATCTGGTGCCGCTCTGTCCACACTCATTCTGCCCTAACACACTGGTGGTCTTCTGTTGTAGTTCTTTGAAGCAACGTTGCCTTGCCTGTGTTCTTCGGGATCTCTCGGTGTGTGCCTGTTCCATCTGTCTTCAATGCCCATCTCCCCTCTGTTTATGTGGCTGGTTCTTTCTCATCTTGTCTCAGTTTATGTGTTATCTCTTCAGAGAGACCTCCTGTGACAGTCCTATCCAAAATAAGCTGGCTTCCTTCTTTTGCTTAGCTTTTTGTTTCTTTCATAGCACTTAGAATAATTTGTAATTCTTTTTCTCATTGTTTGTTTTTATAAATTTGTTTACTTTTCTCTCATGGAATTTCTTCAACTTGCCATTCACTTATTTAGGCAATCACCTACTAGGCGTCTACTACTGTTGGGGGAAAAAAAAAGAACAATGATACTAATAACAATGTACCAAGAACTGCTCTAAAATGTTACATGCCTTGCCATGCCTGATCCTCACAACCTCCAAGTAGTGGGGACTATTTTTATCTCTATTTTCTTATAATTTAGAGAAAGTGATAGAAAATTCAAAGATTACACAGGAACTGGCAAATTTTGAACTTAAAATTGAGTTTTTCTCATTCCAAGGGATGATATTTTAACTGTTACTGCTTTCATAACAAGACACAGTCTCTTTACTAAAAATCTTCTATTCTAGTAGGAGAATTCAAATCCTGTTCACCATCTTCACCAAAGGCTATCCGGATAATGTAGTATGAAGAATGATGCTTGAAAAGTCTAGACTTTGTCAGGAAAGACAATCAGATAAATGCATGAGAGTTATTGGCTAAGCATGTATGACTTTAGTTAGCTTGGCCAATAGTGAGGGAGCAGAGAAAGCTTAAGCTTTTCTTCTCTGTTAAAGCAAAAATGGAATGAGGTGAATGTAGTAATTGTTTCAATCAAGAAATTTATGTTTTAATAAGTAAACTTTTATTATTGGCTACTGTAAAAATAGTGGCGATTTCTAAAGATAAATATCATGTGTTTACAGCTGCTCCAAAATACCCCTCCCCCAAAGCAGCCAGGGAATTAGGTTTCTTTTGGATCCATGATCAATGCTCATTTGGGGACAAGTAGCACCTGGCATCTACCATTTATCCCTTCCAAGCCATAGTTTTCAGACAAGATTTGGAATAATTTCATGGGAGAATCCCAGGAAATCTTGGCTAGGAAAGCATGGTGAAAATTAAAGCCAAACGCCATGTTCCTCAAAATGCTAAATAGATTACTTACTGATGTAAAGGAAATCAAGAGCCATTATCAGAAACAAACCAACAAACAAGAAGGAATGAACATATGTCATTGGTCAGTATATAGATGGCCTAAGGAATCAATTCAGGAGACCACCAGGTGGCCTAATGGTTACATTGCTGGACTCTCACATGGTCAACTGTGGTTCGAGTCCAGGACCTGGGGGTTTGAAACACACTGGGCACATGTTCATGCGTGCCCAAAATCCCAAGAGGAGAATGGAGGAGAAGGGATTGCAAAGAGGCCATCCCCCTGGGTGGGGAGGTGATTTCTCACTTGCTGTTCCTCTGTCTCTCTGGTGAGTACATGCACCCTATAGTAAAAATCTCTCTTAAAAAAAAAAAAAAAGAGTCAATTCAGTATTGGACTGTTGGTCCTGGAGCTTGAACAATAAGACCTCTGAGTCTGAAGTTAGGAACAAGTAGATCTCTGTAGCTAGGGTTTGGTTTGAATTTGCTTTATTTTAAGAACCAAGACATATGACTGAGTCATTGGTCCTGCCTATTAACCCTTGTAAAAAGTTAGAGTTAATTATAAGTATAGTAGATTACCTTGTATCAGAATAAGTCTCCCACATATAGCAATGATAAATTTTGGATGGAGTATTTTTAAAAAGATTAAAAACTCAAAACACTGGACAGTGACTGAAAGGAGGGAAAAAGTAGAGGAAGATATTCAATCCTTCAAATAAATGAATGGAACTGGGTGATATCTGTTCTTATATGACTTTCCCACTGTGGTTACTTAACAATCTGTGGATCATGAGATACCTAGAACTCAAATAGAAGTACATGGTTTGGGGCCAGCCGATGGTGTAGTGGTTAAGACACTGGACTCTCACTTGGCTCATGGTGATTCAAGTCCTGAACCTGGAAGCTTGAAAATTAATGCCAGGTGAATGTGTGTGAGTACCCCCAAAATCTTGAGAGCCAAATGGAAGAGAAGGGATTGCAGCATGGCCATCTCCCCTGGAGGGTGATTTCTTTCTTTCCTTCTCACTGTCTCTCTGTCTGACTCTGGAAAGTACAGGCCCCTATCTCAAAAACCTTAGGGGGGAAAAGGTACATTATTATATAGTCTTTTTTTGGGGGGTGGAGGTGGGTTGTTATAGGGCATGCGTGCTTGCCAGAAAGACAAAGAGACCAAAAGCAAGAAATCACCCCCTGAGGGGACAGCTACGCTGCAGTCCCTTCTCCTCCATTCTCCTCTTGGGATTTTGGGCATGCATGCACATGCACCCGACATGAGTTTAAGCCACCAGGTCTGGAACTTGAACCACAGTCCAATTCATGGGAGTCTCATGACATAGCCATTATGCCAACTGCTGGTCCCCATGGCTATGTAGTCTTGAGTGCTATAAAGAGTCAGAAGCTAGGACTGAGAGTGGAAATCTCAGACAGAAGTAACTATGAGGGGAAAAAACACCAGACATGCATGTACATTTCCTCAAGTCTTTGATCCCTAAAATGTGTATATTCATGGGAGACTCTAGGGATCCTAGTAATAAGCAACAGCTGGAAACCTGAAAAAGTTAAACAGAGATTGCAGCTCCTGTTTGTCACAGAAGAAATGAGAATGTGGAAGAAAAATTTTTTTTATTCCTTTCCCCCCACATTTTATTGATCACACAATTTCTTATATAATCTAACTACTTTCAATAACAAGTTCAGCTGGTAATTTCAAGAAAAGCAGTTTTAACTTTAATAAATAAAAGAAATGCTAAGGAAGCTTGCTTAAAACTTAAAGCCAGGAAACAAGTTAGGATTCTGCTCAAATAGTAGGTACATGAACTTATCGACGGCTCAAGACAGCACAAAAATCCTTGAGACAGGAAAACAAAGCCTAGAAGAAAATTTGCAATGATTTGGTCAAAAGTCATAAAATGTTATTTCATCAGTTCAGTCTCATTACTTTATCTTCTGTTGTGGTTTGATCTTCCTCATTAAATTCTGGGATATAATATTCAACTCCAGACTTGTCCCTATGATTAAGTTGGCCATTTTCTTAGTTTTTAACTCTTATTTCTGTGTGTCTATATTTAATTTTCCTAGTATACCACTCCTTGAGAACTTCTTGGAGATCTTGTCTGGTGTTGATAAATTCTTTCAGGTTTTGTTTATCTGAGAATGTTCTTGTCTTTTCTTCCCATATGAAGGATAGTCTTGCCGGGTACAGTATTCTTGGTTGAAATTGCTTTTCTCTTAGCACTTTGAATATATTTTCCCATTCTTTCCTTGTTCTCATCGTTTCCGATGAGAGGTCTGCTATTAGCCTGATGGGATATCCTCTGTAGGTAACTTGCCATTTTTCTCTTGCCAATCTTAGTAACTTGTCTTTGTGTTTTTTGTCAACCTGGCTATAATGTGTCTTGGAAAAGATCTTCTTGGGTTAATTCTATTTGGGGTCCTTTGTATTTCTTGGTACTGGTTCTTTGAGTGCCTCTCTAGGTTTGGAAAGTTTTCTTGCA